TGTGCCTGTACATAATAAAAGTAAAATTGACTCTTATAGTAATTTTTTTACTGGTAATTTTAAAGAATCGAGGCTTAAAATATATATGACGTTTCTTTGGAACTGGAAGGAAAAGAATTGTAAGACTGTCGACGATCCTCTAGATTGGAGGAAGAGCACACACTGTCTTTCCTCTTCAATATGAACCAATTGTGTTTCTCATTCTAATGAAACATGAGACAAGTTAGTAGTTTATGTATTTAAACGTATATAAATATAATTAATCGATTAATGAATATTAAGAAATCATACTTTCATTCTTACAGATTAGGGGTTCGTTTTTGGACTGAATTACGTTTCTCTTAAAGAAATGTTTAGGGGTTAACCCCCGATACACAAATCTAGTTAAGTACACCAGTAATGGAACATCTTAGCTGCGTCGTACGTCAGTGTGGTTCGCTCTATGCGAGACACGTACCGCATTAGGTAATTACTTACACGCTGACTAACACTAATGTCTCCTAAGAAGACAATTTGTGTCTCCGTCTCTTAAAATAATGTTGCTATTTTCTTTTCCGAGCATTCTATATCCTTAGAGCATCGACAATTATCACATTTTCCCTGAAAAATTATTTGGCAAAGCATTGTCAGTAGTTTCGTAATTTAGCATTCTTAATATGTAAGTATTGGGTTCCTGGGAAATATTTCTTAGCAAAGACTTATTCACTCTTTTGCAATTAACTTTACTATAAACTAGAAGTTTTCTGCCGGCCACATTAATTAAGTAGGTACTTATTAATTAACAAAATATTTTACGTGTTATGAATGAGTAATTTTGATATAATGTATTCAATAATACTTAGTACCTTAAATTTTTACCCACATTATATATTAATAAATGTTTGCTCAGAGTGCTTAGACCTAAAAAGCCCTGATATTTCCTTACGAATACTTTCCGTAATATTTATTATATTGTTTTGTTGAAATGGCTGTCTGGATACACTACATATGAACCTACGTAGGTTTTAAAATAATCTAACCAAAAACTGGTTTTAATATGCAAATCAGATGCTTACACCTTTTCCCGTACTGGAACTCCAATGTCAAGACTTCAAAAAACCCATTCGAACGATCTTGCCGACTTGTACGGAATTGAGAAAAATGTTAACTAAATCATAGAATCGATTTTATCCGAGAACAGGGCAAACAAACTAAACAAGAGTTATTATTTATTATTTAAATTACTATATAACACAGCATTCCTTTTAAATCGTAAATATACGATAGACGTAGACAAAATTGGAGACTCAAAATGATGCCATGTATACATTAATTACAAACTTAGGTGTATTTAAGATAAATTATACTTAACTTAGGTTTATTTCCTCTAAAACGGATTAGTTAGTTGTTAATAGTAGAATTAACTTTAGGTCTAAAACATATGACGATTCAAAGGTCTACTAACTTTGTATTATAATATATACTTAGATTAAGTGAAGCCAAAGTCAATATTGTTAGTTTTTTTTTCAGGCAGAGGCATATTGAAATAGTATTTAAAATATATTTTTTGCTGGAGTTTCATCTCAACATATCAGCCTAAAGATGAGCTTCTTTTCTACGAAGTTACGTTATTATCCTTTTTATACGTATAATATAATTTATATAAAATTAAAGATTCAAGTTGGCGCCTGGTAGATCCGGTGAGCCCAGAGCTGGTGCTTTCTTCGCTCAAGAAATAAGTATTAAGTATCGCAATACATATTCTTGCTATGTAGGTTAAGATAATTAAAAATACTTTATATTTGTGTGATGGAAATACGTAGAGAAGCGCCATTTACGCGTGTCTTGCGCACCTTAAATATTATTACTTGTGAGACGGAAATATTTAGTTGCACACTGGCTGAATTCACAAGAATTGCATTATTTATAATAAGTTAGGTTAGGCTTAGGTTTTAAGTATTAACTTGTTATGATTATATTATGTTTTAGATTTCTATTGTATTAGTATTAAGTTACTGTAAAAATAGGAAATAAGGATAATTAATAATTATATAACTATTATATTTATATAAAATAATACTGAAGACCACGACGTCAAATATGTAGTCAATAACTTTAATTTGATCCAATAAAACATATATTAAGTTACTTGAAATAACTAACTTACTTTAATTATTGTACTATGTGGCATCACACACACATTGACATTTGTCAATAAGTGAACAGAAACATGCGTCTGCGCATCGTGGTACTCAGTACTCACTCACTACTCACTTCGCGTTTGGATTTAGTTCGAGGATGACGTTCTTGATATAACTTGTAGTGTTTAAGTATAAAGTTGTACTGTTTTTCAGGAGATTCCTTTGGATTTTATAAGCACATTGCACATTGACATGTAAGTAATATTATGTAATTTGTTGTTTGACTATCTTTTACTTGTAATTACAAATCATTACAACTAATGATCATTTAACAGTTTTGAACATTTTGGTTGCATCATGGGCTTAAGATATGTTGCATATTTTTCTAAGACAATTAAATCTATAATAATCATTGTTCTAAAAAGAATGTGTACGTTTTATTTAGTTATGAATGTCATTCTTGTGGGTAGGAATGAAATCTACGTCCGATTTATATAAAAAAATTCTCAACTATTATGATTATAAAATACTATTGTTATACGTATAAATATTAAAATAACCAAGATCAATTAAATTAATAAGTTTGTCAAATGTATGTATATCTACTAAGAGTCCCGTCCCAATATAGCAGATACCATCTACATAATTACTGCTCGTTCGGTAGATTGTAAACATATTTGTACCAGATTCAAACGCGTTAAATCATCTTCATTTTATAATAATTATCAAGTAAATAAAAAAAAACTCGTCTTCAGATTTTGTATAAAAGCGTGGTCAAAGGTTCAAACACTATGCATGTTTCTGTATAATAATTAGATTATTGGTATAATTATTTCACATTTTAGACTTAAGACGGAGCGAAAATTCTTTTCAATCCCAAAACCCTCTTATCTTAAAAATGTATTCAAATTCTCAGGTCCGTATAACAATAGGTTACGCTCCTCTAACAGATGCTTTTTGGAAATTAATTCGTTTAGGATCTCCGCCATTAAGTTGAGGCATAGGCTGCCCGACTCCATACGATTGGCTACCTCCCTAACATCTTTTAAAACTTCTACATAAACATTTCATAAACATATCATATCCTGCTCAATCATGACTTTTGTAATTCTTGTATTTCTTATTATTAGTACTGCATCGCAATTAATGAATCAGTGAGATTAGCTTTTTAGTTTATTTTATTATATATTTTTTTTAATTATTTTAGATTAACCTTGGTGATTCTATAATTTTTTATAAGATATGGTTATGCACTTTTTTTTTATAAACAGGGACCCCTACATCCTAGCTTATAACTTAAAGCGTCTCCCGCCGGGCCCGGGCGACAACTATTCCGTAAATATCGTCATAATATTTATGGCCGAGTCGGGGAACTTCACTCATCATATTTCTTTTTTTTTAGTTCTTCCTTACTAGGGTTGCCTGTGAGATTCAAAGGCCGCCCCGTTGCATACCTTATAATTTTTATGAATTGTATTATTTGTTTTTCTATAAATGTTACGAAGTGTAAATAAATAAAATCGCTAAGTGGATTGTCGACGGAACAATATTTGTTTTTGTTTGAAAGATTAATAACTATACTATTAAGAAAAGTTATGACCATGTACATGATTAATATGTTACCTGTGGTATAAATTAATAGGTGATCCTAAATAAAGAGTCAGTTAAACTACTCTATGACAGTATAATGTTTATACTAAATATCAATATGCAATAATTTTAATATAGTTTCCAGACATGATGCAAAAAGAACATGGCAGGTCTTGTGGCATTAGTCTACGGGCTAAGTGCCTTTTTATAGGATATTTGTGTTTGGTAAGTCTGAATTTAATATTATATTAGTATAGATATTATGTGGACCGAAGATGGCTACAGTACCAAACATATGGAAACCTTTTAGCACCGCGTGAACAATATTAGACTTTTTCCTACATACGCGAAAGTCCTTTGTGCACTTCTAAACCAACAATCGACAATATGAGCAGTGTAAGCAAGTGGCTTCAGCGTACGACTCTAATACCTGAGGTCGTAGGTTCGATCCCCGGATGTGCACTAATGCACTTTCTATCTATCTACGTGTGCATTTAACATTCGCTCAAAAGGTAAAGGAAAAAATCGTGAGTAAACCGGCTTGGCTTAAACCCAAAAAGACGACGGTGTGTGCAGACACTGAAGGCTGATTAGATTGTCAAGAGATCATGAAACAGATGCAGAAATCTGAGGCCCAAACCTAAAACAATACCTAACTTCCAAATTATAGAATGTTTCTAAGATTGGCATTTTGAAATCCTACTACAATCCTATATAAAACTCACAGCAAAAATTACTAAATCTTTTGTCCTTTCTAAAATTCTTAGTTGCAAGCAAATTACAGGTGTTAAACCCGCATAGCAACGAGAAAAAGTGTCTCATTCGTGCTGCAGTACAATTTTTGAGAGGCGCAAATTTTGCAGGATTACTTTGAGTTTTAGTTACACGTCCATTTCCGTTTCAGTTCTCACTTGTTCAGGTGTCCATTAGAAAAATCTATATCCAACCCATTTTAAGGCAAACGATATAAATTCAATCATTCAGCAAATACATACGCAACGCTAGCGCATAGTTCAAACATTGTAATATTTGTTTTAATTATCTACTTATTCTTTTAAATGTATAAATAAAGTTCATACACATCTCTTTAGTGTTCGGAATTTTGTCTTTTTCTTTGTACGTTTCAATCAGTAGTGTTAGTCTCTAATTAGTACCTATGTCTTACTATCAGTGGATAAATCTAAGTAAGGTTAATTCCACAGGTTGTGTAACTATTAACAAATTCAAATTTTGATTTTTCAGTTTGCGAGTATGGTGAATGTCATATCTCACTTTGTGATTGTGAGCATTATGACACGTGGTTTCGTTTGTGATATAAATGAAGAAAGCGTGAGTATATGTTAAAATTTTGTTAATGTCAAAGGAATCTTGTAAAATCATTACCGACACTTGTTTTGATAATTATTAAACATTGAGTAAGTTCGGTATTCAAATGTTTGGTGCATTCGCGGAAGTCCTTTGTTCACTAATAAATCAACAATCAACAATATGAGCAGTGTTGGCCTAGAGTCATCCTTGAGGTCGTAGGTACGATCCCCGGCTGTGCACTAATGGACTTTTGTCTATGTGCGCATCTAACATTCGCTCGAACGGTGGAGGAAGAACTCGTGAGGAAACCGACTTGCCTTACACCCAATAAGTTGACGGCGTGTGCAGGCACAGGAGGCTGATCACCTACTTGCCAATTAGATTGATTAATCATGAAACAGACACAGAAATCTAAGGCCCAGCCCTAAAAAGGTTGTAGCGCCACTGATTTATTTATTTAAAAAAAAAACAACTATTTATAGATATTTAAAAGCAAACGTCTATTACTTCAAGGCATTTCTTATCCCAGCCTCGTTTTAATATATATTTTTGTTAGAGTTAAATTCTCTCTATATATGTGTACTATGTTTTTCCCTAGATACAACTGATAAATTGGACATGGTTAGAACCGTTTATGTTTATCGTCAACATGGGAACTCATGGCTTCTACCCCTACCCACTTCTTCTTCGGCCATATGCTGAAGCATTTGACAATGAGCCGCTCGGAGAAGAACTCAAATGTGACGATTCATTGACCCATGTCTCCGGCTCTAATATGTTGTACTTCTTTATAAATACATCATGGTTTATATTTGTATTGAGTTATATTGTTGCTATATACAAAGTAAGTATTTTTTAATAAAATAATACATAGTATGGTACTCGTAATGTATAATAATACTATAAAGAAACGCTCTTTTATGAGTCTTGCTTCCGATTTCTACTTTACTGACCACTTTTCTTTATAGGTAAGGCTTCTTTAATATAAACTTTGAAACACTGAGTCTAGGAGATCCCTGTTTCTAATATTAATATATAATTATATACATTATCAAAGTGCGGCTTTTACATACATTATTTAGTTACTAGGGCTGTCCAAAAAGCTTGACTGAAGCCAAGCAAAAGTTTGCTCGCTTAATTACTTTTAAAGTTATGAAATATTGTGTGGTGTTGTGTGTGGTGTATATTAAAGTAAATACTTTGTTTCATTAGAAAAATGTCGTGTGTATTAACAACTTACACTTAGAAAAGGAGAAATTTTGCTAAAAGTTAAACATTAAGGGTAATGTTCAGTAAAAGCGCGAAGTAAAAATGCCATAACATATTAGTTTTGACATACAGGAATACGCGCAAAGCTTCAACTTTGAGGTTACTACGAAACTATCGTAACTTATATATAGTATATTGTTTTCAGAAAGAGGTTATACCGATTCGAATGTTCTATTTGTGGAGCTTATTGAAGATAGGGGTGCAGATATTGTTTTTGGCGTACCAGCCTGGTAGTATCAAATTCAGCAACGATGCTGTCGGCTTCCTAGAACGCAGTGGCTTTGCCAACCTGTTGGATATTGGTAATTTGAGTTTTGTTTAATATTTTAAATCCCGCAATAGTTGTAAGAAAGGCTTATCACCGCCTTGTGTGCCTAACAAACAGTTATTACTTTTGTGGCGAATTGAATTCAGGACTTGCCGCTTACATGCCATATGCATTAATCCCTTTAATATGGAGACAGTTACCATTAAGATAGGAATGAAACTTCGTATAAAGAAGTATGGAACAAGTAATGAACAGGCGCGACAGATAATTTAAAATTGGAATATGCTAGATACTATACGAATTTAAAAAAACATAAATGGAAACTCGTTGATGATACATACTCGTAACATCATGAAATCGACCTTTGACCTGTGTCATAATAATAATTATAACATGCTTTAGATAAATTTTATATAAATACCGAATTTTTGGGAGTTCTCAACGATTTTTTTTAATTTTTAGTATTGGGTTGCATTTGCATCGTAATAATAAGAAGATACGTCAATCAAATGTCGCTGGAAGTAGTGGTTTGGATCGTGAAGAAACCACCTACATACGAGGAGTGTCTCAATAACTTAAAGCAAAAAGAAAAGAATGAAGCAATTATTCATATCGATACTAAACCAGGACTTCTCACCTCTTGCATTTAA